CTTTGTGAGGGAGATCACCTAACTACTCAAAACCTACTGTTGTTGTGCTAAAAAAAAAAATAGTTTCTTTTTAAAATCCAAACAAAAGCTATCATTCACATTGTCTTGTACCACACAGAGAATCCTGCAGTATGATAATTAACTGTGCACAGCTCATCACACAAATGCTCATGAAGTCAAATGTTAATTATTTTGGGCTGTCATGTTAGATATTAGAACACAATGTAACCAAGTTAAACCACTTGGGCCTTCAACTGCTAAGGACATTGGAAAAGATTTTTATAACAACTTACAGTTTTTCTATGAGTTATTTAAAGTAAACAGTTTCATAGCTGTTGGTTGAAAATAACATTATTTTAGTACAAATATTTCCAGTATACTGCTATTTTCAATATGAGTATCAGATTTCCTAAGTTCTCTGCTTGAACAAGGGGTTTTAGCAGCAGCTGAGCCTGTCAAAATAGAAGAATCTTGGGTTTTTTGAACGGTACCTTCAAAGCTTTATGATGCCAGTAATATTAATGATCCTGGAAGAGAAACTTGAAAGACTACAGCTATGATTTTTCAGGCATTTAAGATCGTAACAGTTTCAAATATGTCTGCAACTAAAGAGACAGTCTCCCTTGCCATATTTTTCTCATTGAAAATATGTCCCCCTTCCAGAAAAACACTCTTGAGAAGACAGTTCTTGCTTCTTTGTCCCACAGTCTCTGAATTCCACCTATTTTATCAGGCAGTTTACTCCATAAATAAGTATTTAGTCTAGCCTTCACTATTATCTGACCGATATACTGTATCCCTGTATTCTGACAGTGTCTGCTGTTCCTGAAGCAAATCAGTTTAAAAATAAGAAATTACAAAAAATAAAATTAAGAATAATAAGCAACATTTTCTTTTGTGAATGTATATTTTTGATTTAGAGAAGGAAAAGATAAACTGTTTCACAGTTCAGGACTTGAGAGTCACAAAAAGACAATAAATACACTAATTTTGTCATAAAATTACTTTTCTACTCTTTGCTATGCCCTTTGCATTCTTTTTGTTTTGTTTTTGTTTGTCCTTTATTTCACTTATTCTTTATTGTGGTCTTTAAGTGTTCTTTGTGAACTCAGTGCATGGTCAGAACATCCTAAGAATAAAGTTAGCACCCATTTAATTTATCTCTTTAGACTTATCTCCCCAAAGATAAGTCAAGGGCAAGATATTTTCAGTCTCCAAGAAATTTTATTATTTAAATGATTTTCTACTACTTTCTCACTTTTAGTTCCTTAGATAATCCAGCTGAGCGGATTTTTGCCTTGTTCATTTTGCTATCACCAATGCAGATTTCAAATTTCATGTTTATTTGCCAATAGCATCCATTCTTATACTGTTTATCAGAACCCAGAGACCGGTAACAAGTTTTTTGAAGGAAAAAGAACCTGTTTCAGGGCAAGACAAATCAGGTGTCCTTACTCTTTGTGTGGAACATCTATTCACACTGCTATTTAAAAACAGAAAAACACTCTAGTATTAAAAAATCCCAGTGTTCTATTAAAAAAGAACCCCAAAACACAACAGCAAGATGCTCAAAAATTTTTGATAAATCCTAATTTTAAGTTTATATTTATGACCTACTTTTACAGATCATAAAAATTGAAGTGTTCTCTTATTCATCATTCTTACATTAAAAATATTAACCACTAGAACAAGTAGCTTTGAATTTCTACTGTTTTTTATATTTCCCAGCTGTGCTTCAGTACACTCATTTGAAGTGGGTGTCTTACAAGTATAAGTATAAGAGAAGGAGATAATTTGATACCTGGTGTGTGTTCTTGTTTGCAATAGTATATTGTTTATTAAAAGGGATGAATGGTCTTACTTAGATATTCCAGGTAGCTAAACACCTGAGACTCAATTAAAGCTCATGAAACTAGGCATTCTGACAACTAAAAAAAACTCCCTTCCCCCACTTGTAATTAGAATTAAATATGAGAAGCTGAGAGCAACAGCAACAGGAGGAAGAGGAGGTTAGAGTAGCTAATTTCAGTCTTGAAGAAATAATGAATAAATTAGGCTGTTAAAATTCATCTTGTTGCAAGTTGATAGGTGCTCAGCACATGTAATTAATTCAGTGAGTTTTAATAAACTAGAATTAGAAGCAAATAAGAAACATCTCCTAAAGCAGTGGGGAAGATGTGTACCACTATCTCCTGGTGCAGATATGCTGACATACTGCATTTCTCTGTGAGTGATGGGCCACAGGGCCCGTGAATGATGCTGCTGCATGTCCAGGAAGGTGAGGGGAGGTCGTGGTCCTTGGTAAAGAAGAGAAGAGGAGGGAGAGATTGGAAGTAGTCTGTGACTTGGTGAGAATGAAAAAAATGTTAATAAGTGCTCACTAAAATTAGACATATTCAATGTCCTATTTAATAAGAACAATTGGTGAAAAAGAATTTTTATGCCTATTTGGAAACTGGCTTCCCAGATACAGCACTTTCCCAGACTGAGCAGTGTTGTTTGCTTGTTTATTTTTCAAAGAGGAAGAATAAAGAAGTACATAAAAGCCAGATTTCCAGTGTGATATTTGATAACCGTGCTGAGCTCATGGCTGTGCCTGAGAGGGGGCAGGTTTTGTTTGCCAGGACTGCTTCTCTGACTGGAGAAGGAGGGAGGCTGAGTTCATTGCAAGCACTGCCAGCACATGAGCCTGTCATCATCATGATCCCGCAGTGTTTGTTAGGTGATGTTTTGAGGCTGATTTGCATGTTTCTGATGGCATGTGATGCAAATATGCTGTCATATCAGTGATACAGACTTCCCATTGTTGTTCATTAAAGACCCCTGTCTGCTACTCAGGAGAGTTAGATATAATCAGCAGTGATATATTCCAGCTAGAGCACAGATCACTTTTCATAAAACTTGCTTCTGTCTTCTCATTTTGTGCTCAACACGGTCATTAACATTTTCATCACAGTTCTTTCTTCAACAATAGCCATGTCCACATTTGTCTCAGATTATCATCACCTATCTTTCCTTCAATACAGGGGATAATTTATGAATTGAATCCTACAGTCTGTACTCAAGTCAACCATAAGAGTTAGCAATGTTTTCACCAAAAAGATCAGGATGTTAGTATTTGCATTATTTATAAGGGAAACAGAATATTTTTTTCAGGGTAATACTATGTTTTACCTATGTAATTCCTTCCTAAAAGATTCTTTACTATTCCTCAAAAGTAATGATGTTGTTGTCAAGTTCTTCTCCAACAGAACATTCTATCTTTTTCAAGAATATTGGTAGGAAAGGAAATTAAAGTTACATAGTAGAAATTCATAACATATGAACCAGGGAGTTAAAGGCAGGAAATACCTGCATTTTCCATTATATTTATTGTGTGTTTCACTGCAGAGCTTTAATTTCAAATAAGTGGGATTTTTGTTCATATACAGGAAATACTGCTAGTTGGCAAAACCTATGATGGAATGATTAGTGCTTTTTCTGCTGTTTTTTTTCCAGTTTACATTCCTTGCATTTTTTAAAATTAACAATAATTCTCTTGCATATAATTATATAGAACCCCTTTCCCTAGATTTAAATAGACAATTTGACTCAGGATTAGAAGGTAAGGTGTCTGTCACATCTGTAAATTTCAGCAGGAAATCATTAAGTTCTGACTTAACGTTCATAAATTTTGAAAGAGATTGATATCAGCTAGTGCTAAGTATCAGGTAGTATCAGCTATCAGCTTCGTATTTGAGATAACTATTGGAGTGAACTATAACAATTGATTTCAGATAAGAAACTGGGAAAATTAATACCATAGAAAATTCAAAACAAAACTTATTTTAAAGTAGTTAAGAATATAAAATGAACTAAAAAACATGCATGGTGTGATATGTGGGTGTCATATATGTCATATCCTTCCTACCAGCCTTTATCCAACAATATAAGCAAGCACCTATATATAACTAGGAAGGTGCATATTTTCTCCCTAAATAGTTTGCTCAGTTGGGATTTTAGTTAAAAAAACCTGACTAGCCTTAATAAAAGGCTAAGCATAAGGTAGCTATTAGATGTGTATAATGCATAAAGAAATAATCATAAATTAAAATCTACATTTCTCAACTATAAATTTGCATCATTAATATTGGTGGTGTGAACTGGTTTGGGTTTTTTTTAATCTTGACATAATTTTGATGGTTGCGATAAATTGCGCGAAGGATATTTTCTGCATTACTGGTGTGGTTTTGGTTCTAGGGTACAATGCAGACTGCATTTTATAGCCTGCTAGTGGCATTTTAAGTAACACTGTGGAGGGCAGATCATCATTTATGCCAAGAAGCTCATTTATGTAAGCTACAATGTCAAGTTTAATGAAGGGCTACAGTGACAAAAGAAAGCTGATTGCATGTACTCAAAATACTTTTCAGATGACAAATGACTGATACTCATAAAAACAATATCCAGGATAATTGTTAAGGTTATGATACTTAAACCAACCTAAAAAGATCCAAGGTGGTATACTCTAAGAGGTTAATATTCTATAAGATTTAAATGAAAAAAAATCAAAGAATCAAACAACCTAAAATTCAGATTTATAGTCAGGCTCTTTCTGCACAGAGGAAAGAAAATATAACTGGCAATTAGGAGCATTTGTATCCCCTTATTTTCTTTGTTCAACTCAGTGAGATTTTATAATCAGTAACTTTATAACTGGCTTACCAGAATGGCTTTTTGATGATCCCTGGTCAAAATAAATGTGTAGAGAAAAATCTGCTAGCATGATTTATTCTGTGCTCTTTGTCCCTGCCTGGAACATTCAGTGTTTGGGAAAACAAGCCAAAACCTCTTCTGCCTGATCCCCATCAACATCTTTCTTTCTCTCTCTCTTTGTGGTCACCACATCATAAAGGGAGAGTTGATGCTAAGGATAAAGGTCAAGATGACAATTCTTTGAATTGAAAAGAGAAATGAGTGTCCCTAAGTATTCAGCATGAGCTTCTCTTTGCTCCCTGCAGGGCATCTGCACCACAACCACCGCATTTTTACACTTCTTCTTCTTAGCTTCATTCTGTTGGGTTTTGACAGAAGCGTGGCAGTCATACATGGCTGTTACTGGAAAAATTAGGACACGGCTCATAAGAAAACGTTTCCTGTGCCTTGGATGGGGTAAGCCAGTAAAAGTATTCCTAAAAACCATTGGAATGAAAAATTTAATGCAGCAACAGTGTCAGGAATATAATAATTTCCTTCGGTTAACCTGAAAGACAGTAGACAGTATGCTACTAAAAACAAAACTAGGTAAGGAGCCTTTCCACTTTATCTCAGGCTCAAGTTACACTGGTGGATATTGTAGCATTCTTTTATAAATGTGTTTTAACAAAACTTTAGAAAACTTTCAGCAAAGTACTGTAATATCAAGAAATCAAAATAAAACAAGAAAAAACATTCTCTGAATATTCATGAAGTCTCCTTCTAGTTCTCTTTAAGACCTGTCAAATGTACCAGTAATTTAAGTACATCAAAGTGGTACACCGTGGGCAGAAAACAGTGTCCTCCTCCCTACCAGTGCTTCAGAAAAACAAATCCTGGAATAGCACTGTGCTTCATTAAATAATTCATTCCGTGTAAAGTTGGCCATTTTGCATTAGCCTGCCCTGTCATTTTTTTGTCCAGGCAAAACAGCAATATTTTACTCAGCATCTGATGATTATTACTGTTTTGGGTTTTTTTCAGGATTGCCAGCATTAGTGGTTGCGATATCAATAGGCTTCACCAAGACAAAAGGATATGGAACAGCCCACTAGTAAGTCAATCTGAAATGATAAAATATGTTTTTAATTATCAAGATTGTCATACCCATCAGGAACTGCCTAGCATATTCTAAAGGCTCTACAGGTATCCATTCACATTTGGAACTGGCCTAAGAGTGACTGAGTGATCCACAAAAGAACAAAGAGAAAACAGTATGCCAGTCTTGGAACGAGCTCAGCAAAACACCAGACATCCTGGATTTCTTGTGAAGTTTTGAAATAGCAAGCTTTTAAGTAACACTGAGATTTAGGTCCACTTAGGCACCTAACGTTTAATAGATTTACAAAAGAGAATGTTAAATGGTATGGCTAGCCTCTGCCAGCTTTTAAACATGTCTGAACCTGTACTGGCAAGAGTCTCTTTGGCACTCAGGTTTCTGTGCACCAAGCATGTACCTCGAATTTAATGCCCATGAGCTGTTTGGAGCCAAAGCCCTGCAGACATCTCAAAACAGTTCTCCCATCCAGCCCCTCTCTCCTGGAGAGCCTGATCTAGCTGATTACCTGGACTGGGCTGTACTTGAGAGACAAGGAGGAGGAAATCTGTGTACTTCATTTACATTCAACTAATACATTTCCTGTTTAGCAACCTGGCTGGTTCAAGTGTGTATTTAACAGCTTGAAAATTCACTCCATTGAAGACTGCCCTTTGGTCTTCTAATGAAGAAGGAGCTTGGGCTGAGCCTTCCTCCTGCCAGTGGAGAGCTCCAAACACCATTATGTATGTGACAGTGCATTTCTTTTGGTTGGCCTATTTGGAGCTCTTCTCACATTGCCTAAGAAACTGAATATGCATCTGGACAGAAAGAGAGGAAATATGACTCTGGAGCCTCTTAATGAGGGCATTCATCAGAGATGTGGATGAGTTAGGTCAAGTCTTCAATGCATATTTAATTATTCTTAGCATCATCATAAAGTGAGATCAGGATTCCCCCTCCCTTCCCTGTGTGTCTCACCATCTTGGCACATGGTGGGGAAGGCTTCAAGCCCTCACTGCAGGATTCAAAACCAAATCTCCTCCTGAATACCAGCTCTAACCACTGAACATTTTAGTTTTAAATGATGGCAACACGCTTCTTGAGTTTTTTATTGAGTAATGTCTTATGTAGTGGAAATGCTTAACTTGCACTTAGAGCTGGCAAGTGAAACAATGGTCTTACTTCTACTTTGGGTGTTACATTGATGACCTACTTCTCTGACATTTTTTCTAACTATGTGCTCATCTTGCTGGCTTTTTTGTTATTTAGTCCTTGAACCAGGACTGGAGAACCATACAGGCTGTGAGAATTACAAAACACCAAAAAACAATGCCCAGACCCCAGTGGTGATGTAGCTTTGTCCTTTGCAGGATTTTCCACCAAAATCATTCATGTGTGAGCACTTGCTTTAGTTACCATTGCTTCCTACTTCCTTCCCGGGCTGAATGCATTTTTAAAAGGAGACATACTGAAATATTCAGACAAAGCAACAAATCATTCATTAAGGGTAACCTGTAAAGTAAAAAAGAGTAGGTCTCTGTGTATGTAAAAGCTCCTCTCCTAGGCTTCAAATTCAGCTGCTGCAGTACTGTGGAAGAAAAGAACAAATGGATGTGTGCAAGGGACGAATACAACCATAATGCAGCTTTCTCATCTTATCTGCAAATATATTTTATTGGCATTTGACATCAGAATTACATAAAGAAAACAGTGAAGGCAATTCCTCCTCCATCACCAGCTGATGTGCTGTCCCACTCCAGAAGACAGCAAATAATTGTGTCCCATGACAACTGTTGGGCGGTGTAAAAGCAGAGCTCCTGTCCTGTTCCCTCTCCCATAACTAAAGAAGTTGTGTAACTTTTATAACTGCTCAGATTATATTTTGCCTGTTTGACTGCAATCAATTACACACATGCTGCCATCAGAAATGTGTTCTGCTGCAAACTATTCCTGGTCTGAAAGATGCTGGTTTTGAAAATGACGATTTCAAATGGAGAACATTAAAAGGGAAAATTGAGGAATTTATTTCAGTCTCGTAGTCCCACACATGAAGAGATTCATGGAAAGGGAGAAGGTCCAAGGATCTTTGAAGCAGGTCTCGGTTTTATACAGTTCGTGTCAGAATTGTTCACACTGGAACCAATTCTGTGATCATCACTCTGAGCCCTAATTATTAGACAGTTGTATTTCTGTACACTTAAAACTAAATGTGAACTTCATGCAGACTTTTACGGTGGTATGGATAGAGAAGCTGAAGGGATTTCCTAAAAATAATTTTAAAAGCCGCAGAGGCAAGTTTTTATATATTTCAGGTTGTTTGAAAAAGATATGTGTCCAAAAGCTTAATAGCTTTTCCCAGCTGTTTCTGTAAGACTAATAAATACTTTTGCTACCTCTCCTCAGACAATCACAGCTATGAAAGCACCACTACTACATGTTATAGTTAATAAACCTGCATGAACTACTCATGTTTACATTCAGTACTAATTCTAGGAATTCATTATATCAGCAAATATTAAAATTCTGTTGTAGTCTTGTTCTTGCCATGCTCTCTTAAGAGAAGGAATCGTTCTCCTGGAGAGCATCAAACAACTAAAAAAATGCACAGGACACAGGAGCAAGTATACAGATAGTTCATCACTCAGCAGAATTTTATGACCATGTAGCATGATCCTATAAAACCACCAGTGGTTGCTCTTAATACTAATCAATTTATATGGCTTTCTGCTATGTGCACATCAGGAAGAAAGAAGGCAGAACAGGAGAATAAAATAAAACCAACTATAAAGCACTCAAAAAAAAAAAAAAAGCTATCAGAGCAAAGAAAGAAAAGGAGAAGGAAAAAAAGAGTAAAAAATTGACAATTGCTTTGTGGTGTAAGAAGACACCTGAAAATCTATCTTCAGAATGTCTTCAATAGAAAAAGAATGGGACAAAATGAATTTCAGAGCCATCAACTAGGAGATGCTGAATATGTTGCAATAATGATATCACACATTAATGAAAATCCAGACCGTTGAAAATTCCGATTGTGTAAAGAAAAGAGGACAACATTTACATTTTTTCCTGCTCTGCCTCTTTTGGAAATCCCTCTTTTGAGAAACTATTTTACTTGAGGACATGGAAAAAGGAAGGAACACTCCTCCCTTGGTCTTAAAGATTTTTAGGGTAGAAACTGGTTTTGGTTTATTTTTTAAAAAAAACCCTCCTGATACTTTTTTCAGCACTGGTAACTGAAATTAGCTTTCAAATACAATACATCAACTATTTTTATGAACTGATTCTCCTGTCTCACAATAAGCATGAAAATTTTAATTATATATCTTAATTACACAGAGTGATCACCTTCACTAAGTTTATAAGTTCCTACTGGCGAGGAAATGCACTGTGAATACATTCCTCCCTCTCAGAAAGATTCTGACAATTCATAACCTAGCTTTGGAAAAAATAACAAGAAAAATTGCAGAAAATTTTGAAAGCATTTTTTGGGCATTACAAAACTAAATTGAACATTACTGTTGTGCTTGATTTTTGAGGGAGGATGTAGCATAGTATGACATGTATTACATTTTTAACACCAGGGCAGATAAGAACTATTAGCACCCATTATCATTCCAGAATTTAGCACACTGGTGCATTTGGGTTCATGTGACAATCTTTACATGGCTTCATTGCAGTGGAAAACAATTTTATTCTTTTCAGGGAGAATGTCAGCCCTAACAGACCATTATTATTATGGTGTGCTTGCATTTAATTTGCTTAGTTTTCAAAAGTACAAAACCATTACTGTAAAATAAAGAAGATATGTATGATTCTGATGTGACTGTTTCTGGATATGAGATCCAAGTAAATTATTTGAATGCATATACTTGAGTTTTCTTATATGTAGGTGTGATCATGCATTCAAATAAACATGCAGTTCTTTGAATGTGTAATCACTGGGAAAATAGCACAGCTGCATTTACTTCAGTGTGTGAAGCTCCTGATCTTTCACAGATAAGAAAAGCTTTACATCATGGTATATCAAATATTTAGAATCTGATTCTGTAAGTGCTCTGTGTTTGGAAATCTGGTGCTTTTCAGTGAAAGCCCTGATGTGGTATGACACACTCTGTAAGATTAGTAGGTCTCCAGAAAATAGTTTTCAGATGCTTTAAAACATACATTTAAATTGTTTAAAAATATTCCAAAGAATACAGAACAGTTAAATCATATATGATTTTTCTCTAATGGGAATATTGCCTTGAAGACGTAGTTCTAGTAGCAATTATTAAATGACAGAATATGTAGAAACCTTTTTTTTTTTTTTTCTGAAGTTCTACATTACAGGTACTTGACCCTTCATTGCTTTAAGTATAGAACTATCAGACATGGTAAGCTGGAAATGTTTGTAGACACCTGCTTGGCAGGGCCTGTTCAGTTAACTCATCATATGTGGTTAAAGGAGGTTTAGTAAATATTTGCGAACTTTTTTTCTATTGTACTCTTAATATGTTCTTTGAAACATTAAAAATTGGTAAAGGAAATACCTTTCAGCCCTCTACATCATCATATCAACAAAGCATTTCTTTTTTGTGTGTGCATATGAATCTGATATGTCAAAAAAATCTCATGCTGTAGTAATTATTAATGTTTTTTGACAATGTCTTATACTTATTTTTAATTTGTGTTAGTTCTTTTCTAATGTTCTTTACAGCTGTTGGCTGTCTCTGGAAGGAGGGCTACTTTATGCTTTCGTTGGACCTGCAGCTGCTGTTGTCTTGGTAAACATTAATATAATTTCCAGTATTTTCATATGAAATGATGGAAAGTGCCATTGCAATTATAAAAGCTTAGGTATACAGTAACATTGCATTTTGCTGTAAATACTGAGATTAGTATTGTTTAACATACCTTCAGTATTTTGAGTGCATGATTCATTTAATTATATCACTTCTTTATACCAATTAATTTTCCATGTTTATACAGTAAGCTGTGAAAGACTAATGTACTGATTAGTGGCACAGAAAACTTTTTACAGGCATCCCTGTGTTATTATCAGCAGCATCTACACAATTGTCACTTCCTTGTGAAGTTCAGTGACATTCTTGATAGAGTGCTGCTTGGCAGTGTATTGCTGTGCCAGCAAAAGCAACAGAAGGAGTGGAACCAGCCAGCAAGTTCTCCATGGCTATTGCTTTTGAAGGCAAAGAAAAAAGTCATAGTTGGGAAAAAAATGTCTTGTTTGAGAATTAATCTTCCACATCTCTGTAAATGCATTTAGGTGTAGGATTCACTTTTGCCCAATTGTAGACATCTGCAATGTAGATTTCTGCATCTAAGCTAGTTATCCCAGCTATATTTCATTGTCAGTGGAGAAAAATACACACTTTTAGAGCTCAAACCATCAGAAGTATTTCAACTGTCTACTTCAGGGTAAGATAAATTGCATCCTACCTGTGCCATCGGCTATCAGTCATCTGCTTTGCAATCTGTATGGATTTTTCACAATAATTTGTTTAGCATTTTTCCTTTACAGATTTTGAATCTAATTCCTCTTTCCACTCCATCGATTTTACACTATGATAGTTCTATCAGCACCAGTTATTTCTGATTTTCCCTTGTAAAAGGGAGTCGGTCTTACCAGTCATCAAAGATAGAGCTATTTAGCTACATAAATTTTCCTGAAATGGATGTTTACTACTCCCATAGAGTTTGTCTCATCATTGCCTGGAGTCAAGCCAGGATCCTTTTGTACAACTCGCAGTCATGGTAGAGGAGCCAAGGATGTTTACGAAAAGCCAGTCATAATTTTCACATGGAACTCACTGTATGTTCTCTGTGTAATTGGCAAATCTTTGTTCAGAGATGTTTGAAGTTCACAGTAGCAGTTTGCCCTGCCATTAGGTAGGAGCTGTGGAAGGAGCTGTTCCGTGAAACCACTTAAGCCTAAGTGTATGAAGCCAAAGAATTATATAACATCAGCTGAAAAATGTTAATGCTGAAAATAAAGCTGAGGAAGAGTTGGCAGGACAGACTAGTAACAATTAGGTATTTTGGCACAGGTATTGAAAAACCTGTTTGAACGAAAAAAGGATTATCCTTTTCTAATAAATAAAAAAAAAGAACATTGATTTAGTAGATTCAAAAATTGGTATTACCTCTTTGCAGGGTCATGTAGAGACAGGTTCGTAGAGTTCATTTCAATAATGCAAATGGATAATAACAATCATTAATTTGTCCATTAAATGCCATTAGTATGTCCATTAAGCGCCAAAGTCTGACTGCTGAAACACTTTAAATTTTTTTAGGTTAGATCTTCAACCCATGTATGTGATCATAACACCATTTACTTTAATGGAGCTAAGCAGACTTACCCCAGGAATTCATCTGGTCCACAAAAATTGTAAACTGCAGTCAAACAGGGCTCAAAACTGGCATTTTGGTGAATGACATAGACTAGTGACATAGACATAGACGAGTGACAAATCTGCAGGAAGATATGGAAAACCACGGGCAGGTTCTGCATAAGTGGAAACACCCACATGGGACAAAAATGTTTAAAAAGGAACGTGGTTACAGTCATCATATGTTCTGACTAGCTCTTCCTTGTGCACACAAGTCAAATTTTCAATGGTTTTCCTGGAGTAGGGTGTATTGTTTCAATTAAAATTGACAAAATATTACAGCTATATTACTCGAGCTTCTGACCAACAGACACGTATACATATATAGCTTGATACCACACAGAATTCGAGATTCAAAAACAAGCCTGTTGCAGGGTGCATATTTGTTACCCATTTGAGAATACGGTCTTTTTTGTGTGGTCAGGGGTGGTGCTACACAATTTCTGAAGGAAAAGAGGAGGCATTTTTCAAGGCCTGTAAGATCCTTTTTCTGAAGTAACAGGATGCAATATTTTCTTTCAGACACTGAAAGATCAACTATTTGTTTTCTGTTTGACAGGTCAACATGGTGATTGGCATTTTGGTATTTAATAAGCTTGTTTCCAGAGATGGAATCCTAGATAAAAAACTCAAACACAGAGCAGGGTAAGCAACAATTGGGTTATTTTAAAGCATATTAAAATTTTATCACCAATTTTAAATTACAGATATTCACCAAAAATGCTTTTGATTGTGCTGTGAAGTTTTATATCAGTGTAACAGTGTGTCTAACAGATTCCATTAATCTCAAAAGCTACTGTTGCATTATCCTGAGGGAATGCAACTAAACAAACTAAACATAATAAAACACAAGTACAACAGTATTAAGTGAATAAAAATGAATAAAACAAATCTGAGCAGAGGTTTCACAAGATGGTTACACATGTAATGTTATTGCAATTAGGAAAAGTGTTTTATGGAGTGTGTGTACTGAAGGAACTGATTATTTTTGTCTAGCTGTCAAATTTAATGATTATGGAAGGGTATGCTATTTATTTGTGTTAACTGTTATAAAATATATCTTTCAGCAATATATCCCTTACTGAGACCAATGTTATTCTGCCATTTTGACTGTTAAGAATTTGCCATTGTTCTTACATCTAAATAACATCTGCACAGGTGTATTTTCTAAATTGGTGTAACAGAATTTGAAAGTAAAAAAAAAATATTTAAAAGTGGAAAATATAAAAAGGTAAATGTGGTGTTATTATCTACTTGCATTTACATTCAAACTTGTTATCATGAGAAGAAAGAATTAAGACAGTGATGGTATCAGAAAGTGTTTTTCAGTGGATGACAATGATTTGGAGTACCACAGCAGTAAACATAGATTCATTGCATATTGGAGAAAAATATTTCACAAGTCCATAATCACCTTCTTAGTGTTCATGAAACTATATTTATTCTTTGAAAAATTATTTTTTACAATTATATTTTCTAGTATTGTATTTTGGGTCAGCTTGTAGTTAACTTCACCGATATATGCATTTCTAACAATGATAAGCAATGGTATCTTCATTTTACTGTGTGTTACTGCTATGGGTAAATTTATTGCAGTTTCATTTTCAATTATTTTACCATGTAACTAACAGTAGCATTCCTAATAAGTCCTGTTAATCAGTTAGATGAGTACATTTATGATAAATACTTCACCTGGTGTGATTTCTATTTAATATTAATTCAATTGTCTTTCTGCGTTTCAGTTCTTTCACCATTGTCTTACAAACATGTACCAAAAGTTTTAATTTTATTTCTTCCATTTTCCTACTTTTTCATTAGAAATTAATTTCTTAACCTTACTTTTGTCTGTGTTGTTCTATCAGCATTCTTAACTCTGTAATAACACTAGTGAAATCTAGAATATTATAAAACTGACCAAATTATTTGAAAAGTAGCAATGACTTAGTAATCACCAATTCAAATTCATGTATGTTCTGATTCCAGTGATATAAGGAGCTGGAGCAGCCACAGGTTTGGCTTTGTACATTTTATACAGATATTCAAACTTAGATTTAACTGTATTTTTTTTCCAGCTACTCAGTTGTAGGCTATCGAAATCTATTTGCTTATACTTTACTTTCCTGATGAAACAAGTAACTTGATTTCTAGTAGTGAAACTTAGTAAAGAAGTATTTTATTTTGAAAAAATTAATTTTAAAATAAATGGATAAAGAAGTAGAGATTAGTCTGTCACAAGTTATTCTGGAAAAAACATGTAGATACCCTAATGAGAAACAATCTTAACTTGTATGATAGTATGAGATGGTGGTTTGGCAACAACATTCCTTGATACTGCTTGGCAGATGATATCTCTTGAGTTATTCTTTGAGGCATGGAAACTGGTTCAGCCTCTAACCTCCACTAGAAAATTGATTGTCAGTCCTTTCTCAAGTATCTCTTGCCAGCCACGCTCAGAAAGGCAACTTCATTCTTTCTGGCAAACACTGGGCTTATATTTGTCAAAAGTTTAGGTGCAGGATTTAAATCAAGTGAATGAGGCAAAATATACTAACTCCATATGCTTTTTACCACCTTAATAAGCATATGGAGAATAAACACATGGGGGGAAAAAATATATATTGGTGGATCTAAGTCATGTTCTCAATCATTTTCCTGGCGAAAGAGGTAGCGTATATATAGGTCCAGCCAGAAAATTTGTATTTGGGTTATATACACATGAAATTCTATTATTACTTGCAAGATTCAAAGCAGTTTATTAGAGGTATAAAGAATAATCCAGTCTGATAATGTTGAAGTACTGCCAGGCAAAGACAGAAAGTAGTTTCCCAAGCATAGTTTGTGGTTACCTGAGGCCTTTTTCTAGTTCATTCTTTAGTGTATAACTTTAATTGTTGTAAATGGATGTGGATTCACTGGTTTAGTTTCACAGCCCACAATCATCTTATAAAAGATCAGAGTTCTCACTGCTTTTATACAGAAGAAAGTGCATTTTTATGGGAAATATAATGCACTTTTTTACCGAAGTTCTTCATTTGGTTTATCAAAATGGAACACACTGGAGTTCAATGTTGGTTTGGGCAGTTTGTCAAAAGTCTTGTGAATGCTGGGTTTGGCAATAACAAGCAGTTCTGTTGGTTGAAATAACTGGGAAACAAAATTAATGGTTACCTATCTTCACCATGTTGACCACTTTCCAGCTGGGAATAGGTAAAGCACCCTTCCTGTTGCATCTCAGTCAGTTATGGTTATTCCTCGTTCTGATAGCAAAAAGGGAAGGAATAGCAAAAATCTTTATTTAGTTGTCTCGGGACATTGAATGCGTGCTGTATGAAAAAGAAAACTTAAATTCCCGATTTTGTCCTTTAACTCTTCTGACAGGCACCAAGGTACAATTGTCCATACAAAATGCTTTGAGCTTAATGCTTGTGTACTGTGTTTTATTAAAATGCAGAACAGGTCACACTTTTTTTTAGTACCAACTGATATTTATTTCATCAGATTCCATACATTTCAAGCCCTGTATTCAGACCTTCATATGGCATGAATAAAACCACTCCAGATATCAGTGGGCCATGCAGGTCACTAGTATAAATCTGATTATACAGTATGCCCATACTGATTTGAAGTTTGAATAAATTTTGCAGTTTTCTTCACCTGTTAATGCTCTGTAATGGTTCATACTTCACGCTCCTTTTTTAAGTGTCTTATACTCTTTCTCAAGCAAGTTTGGATGCAGCAGTCTTTTATCAGGTCTGAATAGAGGAATTTCACTTTGTGTGTCTATCCTAGCACGTGCTTATGTTTACTTCAGTGTACTGAGCAGTACTGGACATTTGGGGCCTTTTTTAGCTTAAATGGAAGAAATAGAGTTTGCATGAAATTAAGGCCCATAGCATTAACATTTAAAGCTAACAGTAATGTAAAGTACAATGTACAGTTTTGCAACAACATAGAGCATTCATCCTGAATAAATCTACTTACTTTTTCTGCATGACGTCATATTTAAAAGCTAAATTTCAGTAGCAACGTTTTTTGGTGACAATTCAATATTTTGTTCTTTTTGTGGGTGTTCTGTTTGTTTGCAGTCAGATGAGTGAGCCTCATAGCGGTTTGACGCTCAAATGTGCCAAGTGTGGAGTAGTTTCAACAACAGCTTTGTCAGCCACCACCGCCAGTAATGCCATGTTAGTCCTGATCATTTACATCTTCTTGTTACAAATCTTTTACAGTGCATGTGAGACAATAGTTTGATGATGAAAACTGTGTTTGCTAACACTGTATAGAGTGCTAAGCACATTTAAATACTTTTTAACAAAAAAATAAAGAAATTGCAACTGTGTTTATTAACTGAATACAGGATATTCTGTAGAACATAAAGTATGAATGTTACATTCTTGTCTGTGATTTCCAAGTTAAATTGATTTAAAAAATCCTTAAATGTGTTTTATATTAATAGTGAGCTTTCATTATTTTTTTACAATATTACAATGCTGCTTTTCTCCTTTTTTTCAATAGGGCATCCCTTTGGAGTTCCTGTGTGGTGTTGCCACTTCTAGCCCTGACTTGGATGTCTGCAGTTCTGGCCATGACAGACAAAAGATCAATATTATTTCAGATACTTTTTGCAGTATTTGATTCGTTACAAGGCTTTGTTATTGTCATGGTCCATTGTATTCTCCGAAGGGAGGTGAGGAATGGCTTCCCAGTGTTTCTAAAGGGCTATGCTCCTGTTAAGCTCTCAACTGCTCTTCAGTGTTATATACAGCCTACTCTGTGAAAATATATTTCATGGAAAGAGTAAAGTATTTTATGGTGAGATCTAAGGAACGAGTGAAAGAGAGAGGGCAGGTAATGCCAAGAGCAAAATGTCAGTATAAAACTGTACCAGCTTAATTCAAGGTGTTTTTTGATCAATCCCAAGTACAGTTTATTTTCAAGTGTTAGACTTTCCTAATATTGTGAGTATAGGAAAATGTGAATGTGAAGGCCTTTCTGAAGACCAAAAGCTGTAGAATTTTACACTCTCTAAAACAGATTCAAACACAAAATTATTTCTGCTTATACTGCCCCTGAAAGAGGCCACAGGGAGATGATGTGTAATGTTCATGAAGATATACCGTTCTACAAACTCGGGTACATACTAAGGTTATGGGAACAGCGAGGATGAAGACAGATGAGTGCTTTGAGAACAGTGAGGACAAGCTGGTACCCTGGCTTGCCCTTCACAGCTCAGTGCCACCTGCCACAGGATTCATCACCACTGAAATCTGAGAGCAGAACTCCTACACAAGTGCCCTTTAATCTGCCTCTGGTGACAGCTTCTCTAACCTATCTAACCTGCTAACTAACCCCCCATTTTTATTGAGATGGATTTGAGGGCATAACAGCTTTGTTGGCAGGTCTGCAGTAATGGGGCTGTCTATCAAAAATGAACAGGTGGAGCTGGACTGGAGAGTAGTATCCTGGTCCACTGACATATCTGTGGGTTAGTCATTTATCAGCTTCAGGATATTAACCACAGCAGTAAACTGAATTATTCTGTCCAGCATAGTTCACTGTGACTGACGAGTTGTTTGAAAGCACCTCAGGACTAAAACAACCAGAAAGATTGTTTCAAAAAGGGTTTATTGCCAACTCTCAGTGAGGAATCTCAAACAGTGGTTTCCCTTTCCACCACTGAAACCCTTTAAACACTGAAATTTAGTATATTAATAAAAATAATTATGAATAACATAATTTATTCAAGTCTTTCTGTACTGCACCACTTTGCATGAGCTTTATATCTCTATCCTGCACAGAATGCATAGGTAATTGTCTTATCAAAGATTTAAGTTTTCAATTTTTAAAGAAAAATATCAATAACTTGCAGAAATTGGCACCTTACATTTTTCTGATTCCTTCCCACTTCTTAGTTTTATATTTCTTAGTTTTTATTTCTTAGTCTATATTTCTTAGTTTATGAGCTTTCATGTTGGAAGGGGCTTACTCCTTTAATACATTTTCTTTTTTTCTTCTTTTGACTTTCCTCTTTGTTCAGGATAAAAATAGGTGCAGAATAAGATAATACTCAAGACAAATCTATTTTAGCTAGAACTGTCTTTTAATACCCTTATTTTTTTCAGCATTTTCTTTCCCCATAAGATTTACATCTGTGAAAGAGGGTAGTATCATCTATAACTCTGAAAGTCATCATTTCAAATATTCTTGTAGTAAAATGGCAAGACACTGCACCTATTTTTGGTAAACAATAGTGTTTACATACTGGTTTTGCTGTCTATGAAATTTGTGTATCCACTGGGATATATTAATTAGCTTAGAAAGTGCATACCACCTCCCACTTACTGTCTTAGGGAACAATTTTCATTTTAAAATATATATCTTTAGTTCAAGGTTGCATGTGAAACACTCAAAACCAAAGCAGTATGAACAGCATCATGTTTCACAGAGTCATAGAATATCTCAGGTTGGAATGGACCTACAAGGATCATCGAGCCCAACTCTCTGCTCCTTGCAAAACTTCCTGAAACTAAACCATGTGCCTAAGAGTGTTGTCCAGATGCTCCTTAAACACTGACAGGGTTGGTCCCATGACCAATCCCCTGGGAAGCATATTCCAGTGACTGATCACCCTCAGGATGAAGAAGCTTTTTCTGGCGTCCAGTCTGAATTCCCCTGTTCATTCCATTTCCTCACATTCTAATTCAATTTCCTTGTGTCTTAATTCCATTTCCTCGTGTCCTTTGTAAGGATTCAGAGAGGTAGCAACACATTCTGATGTCATTGATTTTGTCAAAAAACAGACCAAAATTCATGAGAAATTCTAAATGTATCATAGCACAGCACTGTATAAAATATAAGATAAAAAAATTGAAGCCTGCATCAGTGCAGTAATGCAAAAGATTATTCGGAAAAAAATGTATTTTGTCTATTGATGAAAGATGAAAATCAACAGACATCTTCCAACAACTCCCTAAGTCTTGAATTAAAGACAGGTTTCCTACTCTAATGACAGCTCTTTGCTGTAAGTGCTTCATTCCCAGGTAATGTTTTTATAGTGCTGAATTTCTCATAGAAACTGTCTTGTCTGACCATACTCACAGGGAGGACTGTGGTGATAGAGGTGGAATTAGTCTTTTCTATAAGTAAACTCAATTTTCATATGTGTAGGATATCTTGACTGGAACTACTTTTAATTCACTATTTTTAGTGCAAGCAATATGCAAAAATATCTGATTATAAATGTGTTCATACAGGAATTTAGAATCTTCATTGTTTATGTGTAGGCAATCAGTAGTTATGGTTTATTTTATTTACTTTTTTTCTTTAGCAAATCACAGATAGATATAGATATAGATACAGAGAGAGAGATCGTTATATAGATATATAAAATCTAACTGCAAAGAATCATTACTCCCTTTAACTTCTTAGAGGAGTTGTTCCAGCAAGTCAGACTCAGCAGTTACTCATCCCGGTTCTAACACTGAAATTCTAGAAGAGAGGCATTGATAAAGCAGCTAAATAATCTCTCTACATGATATTTTAAAAAAATGACTTCATGAGAAGATTTCCCAGTGAGGTCCGAAAAGCACCAAGGTTTGATTGGGTTCTCCCTTGCCAAAAAGAAGGAGAAGTTTTTCTTCAGTCCTGCCAACTTAGGCAGCAGTAAATGTACAGAGACAACTTATTCACTAATCGGTAGACTATCTCCAGTCAAGCTAATAATAGTGATAGTGATGGAAGACAAAGAAACCTAGGCATGTTGCTGATTGACCTCCTATTTGACAGAACACAGTGAATCTTCTTTAGTTCTCCAGATTTAAATTGCAAACTGGGCAAAACACTTGAGGAATTAATTAAAGTAATATTTTTTGTATGGGAAAAGTAAAGTAATAGAACTGTCTTCAAGAAGAGGAGTAAAACTTGATGCTCTTGAAACAATTTTTGTTTCAAGTCTGCACTTAGTTCAGATTGAAGCAGCAAAGACAGGACTGTTTACTGCAGCAAGCTACTACACAGAAAGAGAGGTAACTCCTGTAAGCTATGTTTCAATCTGGCTCTAGAGAGTCTGGCTTTCTATCTCCAGAGCCCCTTAGGCCAAGACAGTGGCCATCATGCAGTGTGTGCAATGCAGTCTCTGCACTGCACAGGTTACCTTCCAGCTGAAAGAATAGTCTCCTACTTTTGGTTGTCTGCAAAAGCATTTAGCTCTGCCAGTGCCTGTCAGGGAAATCTTGCCAACGTGTTTGTCACTCTTGATGAAAGTGATCTCGGTTATAGCCTATAGGATTGATCTAATATTTATAGCATGCCAGCACAGGGAAAACAATAATTCTGACTGTCAGGAAAAAAAAAATATGGGGTGGAATATACCACCATAAAATTCAAACAAAGAGGACAGCCCTGCTTTACTATGCCTTTATCATCATTACATTAAAAAAAAAAGACAGAGTTCTACAATTATGTATCAAATTCCCATTTTTCTTCTTAGATATGTTGATAAAAACATAAATTATGGAAATATTTGTTACCTTTTCTAGCACTCTGTATTAAAGATCTCGTGTGTCAGGGCTGCATTAGGAAGTGTTTGTCTTAGTTGGCACTATGTGATGTGTCATCTCTTTCTCTCCTCCATTAATTCTGTGTCTTTTGGAAAGAAATTAAATCTTTCTATACTTCTGTTTCCTAACTTCTCAATATAAATACAATATTACTTAAGCATAAGACCTCTTATAGACCATATGAAAATTTTGGAAAAAAAATGCAAAATAGAGTTAGGTATTCTTCCTTTATATTGTCTTCTTAGCCCAGAGACCCTAGGGCTATTTTTCTTCCCTCTCCTTGCTGTTTAAACACCTTATTGGACATTGGAAGATGGTGATGTATGCATTACAGAAAAGACAATGATAGGAGAGGTTAGTGTTGAAGCTTCTCCATCTGAGCAAAATAGTTTGCCTGATCTGCTTGAACACAAGATGCTGTAAAGCTGATTTGAATCACACTCAGTAGCTCCTGTTAATTCTAGTGATGGGAGGAACCCACATGTATTTTCTTCTTTAGCTGTGCTTTGCAGAGTAGAGAGCATTTGGTTTAAATGCATCATTGGTGACTAGAGCCCACATTTCTGTATTGCAGGAGAAAAATAAAAAGTACATGAGTAGGGCGAGGGTATGTTATAAAATCTTGGAGCTGGTTACTGTTGCTAAGGAAACCACTTCTCTGGTATCTGCACATTCATCACATCTGTCTCTCCTGCTCTGCCTGGCTCTAAGAAAATCTTGTATCTTGATGCTAAAAGGAAGGGAGGGAAAACAAGATTATGTTTCAAAGTAAAAGGAATAGAATGTATAAAATGTAAAGACAGCACAGTATTTACATACTCAAACAACAAATTTGAACAAGCAGATTGAGAAAACTAAGCTGGTATTTAGAAAGTTCAACCATTTTGTTTCTGACTTGGAGGAGGACACCTAAAAACTGCGACATATGTCAATATGATGAGTACGGCTACATTTGACATTCTGTTAACATGTTCAAATCATATGCTGCTTGCACTTCAGAAACGCATGCGTATTTAAGAGGATCCTAAAATCAAGATTCACTGCTTAAATACAGAAGATAGTGAAAGTGGGATATGAAATTCTTGAGATCTCTGGAGCTATCAGAACTGGGAAAGCTCTGTGAACACGGTGTCCCAAAAATGAGGAGGCCCACTGCACAGAGTGAGATCAAACAGTATGTCCTGAAATAACAATGCTTTGGAGTCAAGCACCATAAGCCTTGAGATCAGACTCAGCACAGCTGGGGATGCTTTGGAGGGAATTTTTTTTTTTTTTTTTTGTCAATTCACTGTGCCAGTGCTTATCCAAGTGCATAAAACTCTGAAGTGTGACCTAACTTCAGCACTGATAAAGTGAAGGAAGACTTGGAGTATATTTGCAGCAACTGGGAGATGCCAAATTAAATTAACATCAAACTCATGGAAAACCAAGGCAAGTGTAGTGCTTAAAATCAAAATCTAAGTCTCGATCCAGCGATACAGCACACTTTAAATTACCTCATGGGGTAAGTCGTGGTGTTTTTAAATTAATCCAGACCTTCCCACCTTGCTTCACTCTTCTTTCTTCTCTATATTTAGCTTCCTCCACCTGCAACAGTCACTTATCAAGACTTCAGAGCACTCTTACTTATTTAAGGGTTGAGCACTTTAAAATAATGCTTTGTAATTACAAAAATAATTATTTTCTACTTCATTTTCCCTTTTGTGATAGCTCCTAAACAACTTGCAATAGAACATGATGGATTGAAAGAAGACAGCTTTTCATCATGAACAATTAATGATTTTCCTCTTCTGTTCTTCACAAAATGTCCATGAGTAGAAGGAATTTTCTCCCTTTTGATTATTCTGAATATGACATCAATTATTTTTATCGATAAATTAATGTAGTTTTTTATAGGCATTTCCCTGAAAATACTTTTATTTTCAAACAAGAAATCATATCAGTTTGTTTTGATTGGAGATCTCCCAACCAGGTTCCTGTTTTCCAAGTAATTCTTGCAATCAGGTATATGATTCTGTATATCTAATATGGAAACTTGTGTTTCTGTAAACAGCATTCACATTGTAAAACTTCAGATTCCAAAAGTTGCCTTGCCGTCCTTATTGTTGTATGCCTGAGAAAGCAGCAAAATATATTTGCATTCTACTGTCAGCAAACAGGAACAGCATTTTCCTTTTGAACGTGCCTCTCTGTTGAACCACATCTTTCTGACAGAAGTGTTGCATAATAGTATTTCTTTAGATATATGTTCTGCCCAAAACAGAAGTGAAAATAACCCTTCCTGTGACAAGATAATTCCTCAAATATACTGTATTTTAGTGACAAGTCTTCAAATTTACTTTATGGATCATATTTGTAAAAACATTAATTTTTGAGGAATTCCTTTTCTATTTTCAAGAAATTTGTTGCTGTGCAAACAGTCCACTTTCCTTCTTGTGCTCACACTGGAGATGTTTCTGTGGTCTGAGTTTTACTCCTAGAGAATATGCATGAGATTCCCTATATGTGGAATTGGAGGTTGTGACTGAATCAGTAGTATGTTTCAAATAGACTTACTCTTTACAGTATAATTACGAGAGCACCATGTGTCTGATCACACTAACTATTAAGAACTGTCTTACAAGAATCTTATTTTTAATCAACTGGAAGATACATTTTATTTTGCTGTGGTTAGCAGTGTATCTATTAATTCTGTTATCATACCTGTACCAAAATGAATGAGAAGACAAAGCCAAATACTATCACCAAGACAGATTTGGCTTGAATACCATATCATCACTTGCTAATTCTGGTAATAGGTGAATCTAATTCTGTGTTCTTGATGGGATAGACTGACAGAATTTGTGGCAGCCACAAAATATAGCAAATGTAAAAAATGGCAGAAATAGCCATTTATGTTTGTTTCTTCTGATTTATTAAGTGTCGTAAAGAAACCTCATGCATTGCATTCCGTATGGTTTAATTAAATCTCTAATAGGAGTAGATTATATTATGCTACACAAGAATCAGTCGGTATAAAGTATTGTTTTCACAGGTTCAAGACGCATTCAGATGTCGGCTGAGAAATTGCCAGGATCCAATCAATGCAGATTCTTCAAGTTCTTTTCCTAATGGACATGCTCAAATCATGGTTAGCTTTTATTTTCTTCCTTGACTATGAGTTTAGTGTTCCTAGCCAAAAGCAAAAGCTTACTGTATTGTATGTGGCAAGTATGCATAGCTAAAATATTAATGCCATTTTAAAGCATAAGTCTGTTTAGGTCATTATCTGCTTGCTTAAATCTCTTAGCAAGCTTTAAATTATTGGTGTGATTATTTAGTGAAGCACAGTGAATTAATATCTTCCACCAGTGTTCTTTAAGACAAAAGAGTTTTACATGAGAATGTGAAAGTAGTCCAGTAATATGTCGTGACTTTTTCTACTGTTGGTGTAAAGAGTGCTGATGCATTTGGGAGTCTTCCTTTCATGAGGCCTTGAAAAATGTTCTTTTCAAACTAAGTCAGAGAAAGCGCTAGAGGTTCTACAGGCGGAATCTATTTAGTGTGTTGAATTAAGAAGATAGTGAATGACTCAGTATGTCAATTTGGATTAAGTAATATTGTTGGGTAGCATTATTAAGACAACATATTGGTCTCTTCACTTTCAACAACAGTTTGTCATTGACTATAATGGGGACAGAATCAGGCCCTAAAAATATGCAAGGCTCAGCAAAAATGCAAGACTCAGAAAGCAGATGCCCTTCAAAAATGATGACTCAGGAAAAGGCACCTAATGTTTGGACTCCACAAGCAAGAAAGAGATCAGTTTTATTGAACATTTTGCATATAATAAACTTCTTGTGGAAATAAAACAAAAATTAATTGAATTCTCTAACAGAATAAATAGTTTTGTTTAATTGGGAAAAGTGTGCTTTGTTTTCCAACTTCTAAAATTCATTCCTAGTTCCTACAATTAATTTTTGCTCAATGAAATAAATAATAGTTGTTCTATTACAACTAAAAAATTTTATGTTTTTACATAAGTAGTAAGGAATGACAGAATGTTTTATTACAAATAAGCACGTCATAACAAATTAATGAGGTTGCAAACAGGGTGGACGAATTGGGTTACACTTATTCACAGTAATTTGTATGCAGATTATTTTTCATAGTTCTGTTCATAAAATTACTATGGAAAGCTTACTTAAAGAAGATCCTTCGATGAGATGTAAAAGTTATGCTTCCATATACATTAAAAACTACACACTGTATCATTTTATTAAAATTATATATTCTACTTCCACCTATTTTATTTTATTTTTTCTGGTCAGGCAGCATACTTTGAAAACCACCCAGTTATACTTTAGGAAACTTTGTAAAGCTCTGCTGTTGTAAAACAATACACTTCACCTTCTCAGCAACAAGAAACCACTTTTAAGAGACTGTGACCCTGTAAGTAGGACATTTTGGAAGCGCTAGTTGCCAAAAACGTATTGTGGTTTATTTTTTAATTAATAATGGATCTTCTGCTTCACTGTTTCTTGTTACAGACTGATTTTGAGAAGGACGTGGACATTGCTTGTCGGTCAGGTAAGAACAGTGAGAGAATATTTAGCCAATAAAAATCAGGGTTTAACCACTTAGAAAAAATATTTATAAATTCAACCAAAAAGAGAAAATTGACGCCACTGTATGAATACTTTTATTTCACATTCTTACAAAAGGCTTTAACTAGAATTCAGCAGTTGAAAAGTAACCTAAAGTATGATTGTCGATTAGAAGGCAAATAGTTTTGGAAAGAAGACCTCTCTTAACATATTAAACTTTCCTTGCCCTGTTACACAAGCAAATGTGATACAAACATTTTGCTATAACAAAACAAAAACCAGGATATATTAACAGCTATGTATATGAAGGATGCATCAATTTGTGTTCATTTTAAAGAAGGTTTGTTAGGACTCTGAGTGAAATCCACAATATTTTAAGGAAATAGTTTAAGGAAAACTTTAAATTTTATTTCTCAACTTGGGGGTTTTCTTAAAGATATTTCAGTGGTGTGATCCTTAATTAGTCAGCTATGTTTGCTTCCACATATTAAAAATAACACATTTTCAGCAATTTATTTGCCAGCCTTGGCTAAATAAAGTACAGCGTGAAATAAATGACCATTTAAACCCTGCAGAACTTTTTAAATCTAGGAGATATTCCCAAAGGACAGTTCTTCCTAGGGTAGCAGTCCTGCCTAGACACCTTCAGTCTTCAATGAATGGAGAGAGAAAGAGAGAGGGTGTCTTTTTCACGGGGTGAGTCAGGGCAGAAGACTGAGATAGCAGTTCTGCATCACCCACCTGGGGGACACGCTCTCTCTTTGCTGGCTATATGAGAAGCCAAGAAAGTTGATCTCATTAAGGTAAAATCTGGGGTTTCAGTCACCCTCTTTTAAAAAACTGCCAGTTGAGTTTCTTGCAATATGATATCAGTTTTTCCCTATAGATCAGTTTTAATATGCACATGTATTTTGAAAGGAATAGGATAGTACATTGTAACACAAATGCATGTCTGTCACCATCTAGTGCAGACAAAAATCCAGCACTGATCCATGTAGCTCCTACTTCTTACCTTTGATAACATAGCTCTGCAGTATGGGGAACCTTGTCAGAGCCTTGAATGCAGTTATGATCAGGCTTTACTAGATAAGCATTTAAACTCACTTTCTTTTAATGAAAAATCTCGGGATAGGTCATCGTTTGAAATGTCTTAACAAGTGTCACTGGAAACAATGAAGCAGCCACTGAGTTCGGGTATTTGTGCACTATTGTTTAGAAGCAAATTGTTTTTTTTCATAATGGACAAATGAGAGTGAGGTAGGAGAAAGTGTGAGGTAGGAGAGTGGGATGCCTTATGAGCTGCTTGCTATGGAAAAAGGCAGTGAACTGACAGGTACTGGGGGATCTGGGTCATCAGAGCCCTTAGGCAGCTGGAAGGGATGTAAATGTAATACCTGAGATACTTAAAGTTGTCTTTCTGTCTCAGCCCATGAGCAGGATTTTATTGTGCAAACTAGCACTGGTGTGAAATAAAGTATTTTCGACCAGGACCAGAAAATCCTTGCACCTAGCTGCAATAGGCCCAGTAAAAGTGGGTTATGACTCTTCTATAAAACATATTTATATCCTTTATAACCTTTTCAGATGCAGCAAAATATTCTTTCTGATACCAATGGAATTTCTTCCCAATGTGGTAATTCTTTCGTCACTTCTGTTTAAAACATAATTTAACAGAAGAGTTTTTAAAAGCCAATGAAAAGGAACATTTAGGATCTCAGGAACACATGCTCTTGGTTGTAATCTTATGGTAGGTCATTACATTGGATTGACAAAATGATTCTGCCTTACAATCTGTTTGACATTTTCCAGGAGGTTATATGGAGTTAATAATGACAGTACAGATGTCACAGTGTATTTTTTTTTGGAAAACCCTTAATGAGTTCCACATGGCAGGCTTTTGCTTAAGCTGTAAGTCACCTAATATCTATGTAAGGCAGTAGGAATAAAAGAAGGAGTGTTTTTAACTTATATAAGTGACTGAAGCTTAGTCAGAAATCTGTGTCAGTTGTACATGGCAAATTAAGAGATGTTGATTTAAAAACAAAACAGAGCAAAAACAACAACAAAACAAGCCACACAAAAGCCCTTCCCAAAAATTATTTATAAAATAGGAGTTATTAATTGGATAGAAAAAGATTGAAGAAGATGCACTGGTAAAGGAAGCTATGCTAGATAAAGCCTCAAGTAGTGTTAGGCAGACATGGTTTCATGTTGTAAGAATTCTTTTCTCTGACCCACAGTTCTGCATAAAGACATTGGACCTTGCAGAGCAGCTACTATAACAGGAACACTTTCTAGAATTTCGCTGAATGATGAAGAGGAGGAAAAGGGACCAAACCCTGAAGGAATGAGCTATTCAACCTTGCCTGGAAACATCATCTCCAAAGTCATCATCCAGCAACCAACAGGGCTCCACATGCCTATGAGTATGAGTGAACTGGCCAATCAGTGCTTGAAAAAAGACAACAGTGAGCTGCGGAGGACTGTGTATTTATGCACTGATGATAATTTGAGAGGTGCAGATATGGACATAGTCCATCCTCAGGAACGGATGATAGAAAGCGATTATATAGTCATGCCCCGGGGCTCAGTAAATACCCAGCCATCACTGAAAGATGAGAGCAAAATGAATATAGGCATGGATACCTTGCCTCACGAAAGGCTATTGCACTACAAAGTTAATCCAGAGTTCAATATGAATCCCTCTGTAATGGACCAATTTAATATCAATTTAGACCAGCATCTTCCCACCCAAGAACATATGCAGAATTTGCCATTTGAGCCCCGCACAGCAGTGAAGAATTTCATTGCCTCAGAGCTGGATGACAATGCAGGATTATCAAGAAGTGAAACTGGATCCACAGTATCAATGAGCTCTTTAGAGGTCAGTGGTGCATAAACAAATTGCATGCTCTGTTGTTCTAATTATATGATAAGACAATAAATTGTGTCTTGTGTCTAAGGGGTGAAGCTAATGTTTTAATTCAGTATAAATTGTTGTTTGGGATCATACACTGCTGTTCATATTTCTCTTATTATCAGAAGTGTTTATACCTAGACAACAAGACTAAAGTTTCAGAACCAGTCTGTATGAAACAATATAGTTCTGGAGATTTAACATTCCACACGACTGCTGAGGATTTCGTGACCTACCAGGTAAAGTCCACTGGAAAATTCTGTGTTGCTATGAGAAGAAAAACTATTCCTGCAAGATGCAAGTGCTAATCATTGGCCTTACCTGCAAGCACATGCAGTTGAAAATATTTGCCATTTTATTGCTGACAATCATATCTGTCTCAGATATGATAGGTCTGATTCTGCTCTCATTAGTGTAAATCTTGGATTCTTCCATCCAATAGTTTACCATTTACTGATTTAGCTTTGTTTGCATGTGTGTGCAGGCATTGGTACAACTGATGTGTGCAATAGGTACCGGTGGGCTTCATGTGGAGTATCCTAGATTCCAATCAGATTGCAAAAGTGAACTTAAAAACCTTTAAAAGGGTTTCAGTTATTACTACAACCTGTCTGTGGGATTTAAGCATTATCAAAGTGAAAATTATTTAAATAATTTCTTAAGGCCTAAGCGTCAAATACTGTCATTTCTATTAAGCTTTTACTTATGCAAAGCCAGCAGTGAGGTGGAGTTGATTTCGTACCTGGGCCTCCTTAAGAACTGGAAATACATTTCACCAATATTTCAAATATTGTGAAACAGAGAATTTTGTGGGAAAGGCAAATGAGAAAAACATGGTACTCACCCATTCTCTGAAAGAAGTTACAGGTGGAAAAAAATTCTACTGTATGTGCAATCTAGCAGCCATTAGCTATTGCTCTGAAATGATTGGACCCGTCTGCGAAGGGAAACAGAGACTTAGCCTTATTGTTCAATTTTTTAACATGGAACTGTAGCTGACGTTTCATAAATGGTGCATACTTATGGATATTTGTTTTAAAATTGAGTTGAAGTTTTATGGAGAGTTTGGGCAGAAGAATTTAGAATTTCTTTTCAAGAGGTGTCTTTACAAGCTTTGAAAGTGAAATATTTTCAGTGCTGTTTATATTGAGCGTGTACTAAAATAAGTTTTTACAAGACTGGATTTAAGTGAAAAATTAATTGAAAGTGAAATGTAGGGATTTGCAGTAATCAAAAATTATCCACGTTGTGGTTGTTGTTAAAGTGAATATGTATAAGTTCGGACAAGTTTTCAAAATTATGTCTAAAAGATAATGTAAGTGCTTGCCCACTCGGTGCTCAGACAGACAGGCTCTTTCAAAGCAAGTTTGCATTGTTAAAGGAGTTACTGCCCTCAGTTCAGATTTAATAGATCTCAGGTGGTACACAGGACTTCTCAAATTTAATGCAACCCTGAAGCAGAGTAGCTAAGGTCAACTTCCAGTCATGTCCTCTCCCACCTATCTACAGTACTGTCTTTCAGATAGTTTTTGTAAGATATAAAGACTCAAATCCAGTCCAGTTAAGATTAGACATATGGATGAGATATATGAGGAAGGTTCATAGTTCCCTGAGAAGATGGATGTACATTCCCCCATACCATCCACTCTAAATTACTCTCTGGTGATTCTTCTTTCTTTCCATTACTGACAAATGTCATCTAGGACACCTAAAAAAAAAAAAAAAAGAAATGTAAGCCTTATCCAAATTGTAAAAATTGGGACAATAGTTACTTCACCTTACACAAAATTACAGTTTCTGAGGCCTGAAAAATCTGTGAGTATAATGTACTGCTTCTTTACAGTTATTTTAACTGTATTTATGTCATATTTAAAGCTTACCTCTTAAGATGGGATGTACACACCAAATCTCAATCACTATTCTGTATATCCTTTTTATGCTCAGAAGAGACTCATAAGTATGTATTAGAAAATGTACTAAAACATAATAATATATGATAATAAATATTTAGTCTCTTCTACCTTGGTAAACACGTTAGGTTTAGAAGTCTGTATTTTGGTCCTGGAAGCAGTAAACAGTTATATTATTAAATCTCATTTAACACAGCATAATCCCATGTAATATGAAAAAAAAAAAAAAACAGATCTTAGAGCAGATCAGAAATAAAAGGAACTGTTTTGGCTTCTGTGTCTGCCTTTGTGGTTCTCAACTCTGCTTGAGACTCTGATTTTATATACATATAAATAAATTTTATATATATATATTTTTTTTAATGTTCCTATCTTCAATTCAGTGCAGCACATCCTTATCAGAAGATGAAGTAATGCTATATCATCAAGCAGAGAACATGATTGTGTTTTTACATATGCAGTGTATAAGCAAGGGTTGAATTAAAGCTCCAAAATGGTATTGGCTGGAACTGACCAGCTGCATTTACTTCTGTTGCTGCTTTGAACAAAGCAAAGAAGAGAGCTCTAGGGTTTTTGGGGGTTTTTTTTAGAAGATTGCAAGACTTTTCAAAATATAGAGTTTTTCTGACATTATAGAGCAGCAAAACCTGCAGCGGGACGTTCAAGCTCATCCTGCCCACAGTTTTCCTGACTAGACTACCTCTAAAAGGAAAGGTCTTGAGCAGTAGGAAGCTTTCCCCTCCTCTCTAATTATAGTAGAACACAACTGTAGTATCAGCAAAAAAAATGTATATCCTGACTTTTAACTCTGCAGGGAGGATCCATCAACCTCTACCATTAGATATCTAAATTTAGGCATTCCCCCTATAAAATGAAAAAAGGGCTCTTCATATTTGGCTCCCCTTTAGAGTCAATCGAGACAAATAGCCATTTTCACACCACTTTTAGACATCTGCTCCAGGAAGAAGTAAATCACATGCCTCAGTGCAGGTGTTGCTTTTCAGATTCCATAATGGAAGCCAGAATGAGCTGTTCAGACATGAACATCAAAAATGTAGATGTCTGTGATGGTTCGGACTTGGCTCCCTGTCAAATGCCCAACTCCCCAGTAGCAGCCGCTCTCTTCCCCCCTTTCTACTTCCCCCAGGGCAAAGGAAAAAAACTATGCAAATTGAAGAACCCGAAAATCAAGCTAGTTATATAAAAATATATATTTTATGTATATTACAGTTAAGGTGCTATGTACACAGCAAACGGGAATCCAAACATCCCCCGAAGGGATAGGGAAAGGGGAAAAGGAACAAAAGGAAACAAAAAGGGACACCGAATAGATATGTGCAATCAAACCCAAGAACTAGTAAAATAACTAGTAAAACAAATCTCACCACATCCTTTAGAAAGCAGGATTGGCAACACTGCCAGCACTCTCCAAGCTTCCACGTGGCAGGTCAGTGGATGCTGCAGGCCTCAACCTTAGATAAGCGAGACCAACGCAGGGACCCACTGTTCCCGAACTTCGGCGGAAGAGAAGAGGGCAAAGGCCTCTTCTCCCTTCTTATTTATACCTCGATTTACGTAAAAATCATAAGGAATACTGGGAACACTGCCCCTTCCTTGGTTAAAAACTGGTAACCAGGGAAGGCCTAGATTAAAACCACCACAATGTCCTAAATTGTCAGATGAATCCTACAGTGTGCCACAAACTTTCCTCTTAAACTTTTATATCTACATATTTTTTTCCTTAAGAAAATGCTTGGATGGGAACAATTACACGGTTTATTATATATGGAAGAATTTCAGCCTTCAAAAGATAGTCTGAGAATGCTGTAATGCTTACATACAAATATAGCCCGGATAAGTATAAATTTAAGGATGTGCAGATTCACAATGTGCAAATCAGTGATTTTTATTTTATTTAGTATGTACCCAACAGTGCCCATTTTATTTTAGACACAGGCAGGCATACTAATGCATCATAGAGTTTATGAGGTCGAGTAATCAAACATCTGGCTAATCTTCTGCACATCCCTTATACACATGGACTAAAACTGGCTTTGCTACCTTGACATCAAAGTGACTTGGAGTGTTCTCCTTCAGTTCAAAGCGTTTTGACTTTAATGAAGGAAACACTCAATGCAATCTTTTGGAATGGGTTTTGTTTTGAAAGTGTACACTCAGAGTGATGTGCTCATTAAAATGAAATTACTTTGAAGTGAAGTATTGCATTCCCAGCTACTTAGATGCAGAGCAAAGTTGGGAACTTTAGATGCAGAGGAAGAATCTGATGTGAGCAGCATATCTCCAGGATAAGTAATTCATCTGTTTTTATTGTGCAAAAAAAAAAAAAAAAAAAAAAATGGAAGAGAGAGTAGATACCTGCTGCCGAACTGTGTGAAGAGACTTGTATCATTACCTTTGTGGAAGAAGAATGAAGGGTTCTTTCAAGGGAACCACCATTAGCATGGTGTGAGCAGAAATGGAAAAGAGCTGAAAGGAGACAAAGACTTTAGAAGGCAAAGAACATGCAAAGACAGGCAATAGAAACATTTATTAAAGGGAATAAAGATCATCTGCTTTATAAGAAAAGGAAGGAAAGGACTTCACAAATTATTTGCCATGTAAAGGATTGGAATTCTCTTTCCAGTCTCATATCTTCCATCTTTATTTTTCTATCTCAGTTTCTGCTATGAGATCTTTATGTGGAGTAAGTTGATTGTGTGACCAAAATAATCCTTCTCTATTCTGTATTCATTCATGAGAGCTCCTAATACTTTCAAAGGCAGTCAACTCTGTGGTCCTTGGCCAAATCACTGAAAGGGACTTTAGGAAGCAAATACTCCAGCTGAGAAAATAAAGGGATATGTAAAAGATAGTGAAATACAAAGAAAAAGTAAAGATATAAATAAAAAGGAGAAAAAAGACTCATAAAGAAAGGGGGGGAATAATGTAGAAAAATTATTAATAAATAAAAGTTTTAGGAAGAATGAAATAAAAGCAGCATGGAAGGAACAAGGTCTAAAATAATAAGAAATAAAAAAACAGGAAAGGAGAGAAGAAATATACAGTTAAAATAGTCAGTCTCATCAATAAAGTATAAGAGCATCAGGCAAAACAAAAGCAAAGTGGTGTGAAGTCATTTTGATTTATGACATGAAAAATAAAATAAGAGAGAGAACAAAAATAGAGAGATGAGCTCCACTGGAATTTCTTCTCTCTCCTGTTTCCACATTGCATTTATTTTCAGGCATTGTGTATCTCAGACTTCTATCCCTCACATTCCTCATTTCATTCTTCAATAATTTGTGGAGACAGCTCTTGCCAATTTTGTG